CACAGACAGACACACACAGACACACACACACACGCACACACACAAACACACAAACTAGCGCATTGAACTTCGGTTTTTCTTTTTTGGGGGATCAATCAACGAATTAATGAATGAATGAATCAATCAATCAATCAATCCATCAACCAATCACACTCAATCAATCAATGGGTATGTGCTATTATGTGTGTCTATCAAAAATGGAAAAAAAAAAAAGAAAACGGCTTTGGTTTTTCTTTTCATTGTAGTCTTTTTTTTTCCCCCTTTTTTATTTGCATGTGTCGGTAAAAAAAAGCATGAAAGACACATTTGCACCATGTTTTTCCCATCAACAATCAGAAAAAAAAATGAAAAACAAAAAAGTTCCCTTTTTTGTTGTGTTCCTTTCGATTTTTATACTTTGTTTTTTTCACTTTCTATTTTTTTTAAATCACAAAAAGTTAAAAGAACATCGAAATCCAAAACAAAAATATGGGGATCTAGGAATTATAAATGATGGGGATTTTTGGCCACACCTGGCTCCCGCAGTTGGCCCCCGCGGGCAACACATGCGGTCATTGTGCGCCCGGTCATGACCGCAGGTGATACATAGCGCTCCATCCTGCCCCGGCCCCGTTCTCTTCCATCTTCTATCTCCCTCTTCAAACTACAAAACCCGCAAGCACATCCGAAAAGCTCTCTCAACCCATCCACCAACTTCAAGGAAGTCGTGGCTAGATGATATGTGTGTGTACAGCAAGTCAAAAAGTCCTGACGAGCTGACTGTAGTTTTGCAAGGCTGTCCCCCAGCTATGGCCATACCGGACTGTGGGATCTAGACAAGGTGACGATCACTGTGGTGTGGCGTTTGGTATGTGCTGGTTGGGATCATCAGCACCTGGGTACTGAGTGTTGCATTGCCAGGGGCCATAATCAGAGAGCAAAAGGCTTGTGCACCTTGATCTTCAGTTCTTGGCCCATATGTCAGCCGGGGAGCTGTCGTTAACACCCCAAGTTTCAGAGGTCCGGGATACCGGACCTGAAAGGCTGACGCCCAGCCAAAACAATTTACTTTTGTTTCACTGACAGGTTGACGCAAAGCAGTGCACAGGGCATATTCAGGCTCGGCATCAATAGCTGGGCTAAGTGCCAGTAGTATCTATTTGTGTGCTCATAACTCCTTTTTCCTTAGTCCCCTTCTTCAGTCAAGCTATGGCTCCGTCCGCATCCTTCGACCTTACTCTACTTTTTCTTGTCTTAATGTTTTCTTTATGAATGTCTAAATATTTGGACAAGTCCCTCACCCCTTCCAGCTCCTGCGTTCCTGTCGCACTCGTCTGGTTGAATTCAACTGGATCTCGTGAGGACGAGTGTCATCGAAATTGAGAGACCAGAAAGCTCAAGTGATCTTGCCCGTCCGTCCCTTTGCTCCTAATTATCTGGCGAGGTTATGAGAGATCCCTTCTCCTACCCGTCTTTGAGGATCGGAACTGCTTAGACGGACCCACGGGGGCATCAAAACAAGTCAGGTGAATGGTATTTTCATGTATGCATCGATTGGGTTCTTGCTCTGATGATGGGAACATAATAAAATTCTGATATGATTATTGCCATGCATCACCACCACGAATGAATAGTGGTCTTCTTGATTGTATCAGGTTGCATGGACTCGTTCCTCTGATCGTCTTGTACGACCGATAGAAGATAATGAGAACCTAGTGCTGTGTCTGTTCATTCCTTTGATCAAATAACGGATTGAATAGAAACATGCACCCAGCATTGCTACATGAAATTGTGAACCAATTACTCCGACACAACTGGGTAGCAACTTCCCACATCACCACCACGCCCATATAAAGAGGAAAGGAGACATGTAGTGGGACAGACGACAAGCTGTTGCCAAGATTGGGAGGTGCTATTATTTACCTCCAAAAAAAAAGTATTCAAGATTCGTAAGTGCTGGTTTTGTCATTATTGCCTGTACTCATTATTGCGTTTTAACAAATTGATTGTCATGCCATGAACAGTTGTGGCACCTCTTTCGCCCAGCACTCGGTATTGTCACTGCACTGAACGTTATCAGAAAAAAGGGTTCCACTACCAGGCACATGCCAAGGACGAACACAAGAAAAAAGCGACCAGGATGAGGCCATCCACGTTAGATTCCGAGCACTATATAACCCGAACGGCACCGGGAGGTAATTTAGAAACAAGACCCACAAGCATACCCCACGCCTTTCTGCTCAAAAAAACGCTAATAACCAGCATGGAAGTTCGGAAATACCTTTCCAATTAAATGGACGTTTGAAAGCAGCGAACAACTATTTCTTTCCCACGCCGGTATGGCCATCTCTCACTAACACTGGAACCACACAGGGCAGGGGATCTCAGTTCCGTCTGTGTCCCCACGGCGGAAGACAAGTACAGGGCGTGTGGTTAGAACGTCACACCCTGCCACTGGTCTTGGCAGGGCATACTTACAGGCTCCTATGGCGATCCGCACAAGTGTACCGCCCTTCACTAATGACATGTTTAGACTGGCCAGGTGATCGGGTTATATGGGGCCTCCGGAGTCTGGTGGCAGCATTGCCTCCTCGCACCCAACGGTGGCCTTCAAAACTGCCCAGATGGATACACCGATGTCCGCAATGCTCTCCCGACATTCAGGGCCCGTCTCTACCTCAGCAAGTCGGCGACTATCAGACTAGATCTTTATCCGCCATCATATGGATAGTTCTTCGCATAAAATACTGTGTTTTTGCAAACTGAGGCCTGGTCACGGTCCGGATATAAAATACTGTGTTTTTGCAAACTGAGGCCTGGTGACGGTCCGGATATTAAGTTCTGCTTTCTATGTTTTACATGGGAACAAATAGATCAGACCTGTGTTTTTCAAACGTAAAGACAGAAAAACGTAAAATCACTTCCTTAAGAAGGAAAAAAGAAAGAAAAACGACACAATCTTAATTCGGTCGCAAGATTTATTTACAACACTAGTGAAGATCCAGCGGCCAGAAGGGTGCAGAAGTGAAGGAGTGAAGGGCAAAACCTGTTTAAATCAGGGCAATGAGAGGTATGAACAGCTACGTGTCAGTAACCAACTACAAACAATGGCCTGAGAGAAACTCTATCAGCACAATGCAATCACCGGAAATCGTTCCGCCCTTGCCCTTCGTCAAAAAGAGCCAACGGTAACCAACTGTGGATCAGTCGCCTAGACGGTGTGTTGACCTTCAATCGAGTTAATTTTCAGTTCCAGGCGAAACGTATGTGGGAAACAATTATTTTGCAGGTGCATGAACGCAGTAAATGTTGCCACGTAGAGATATTGGCATGCATTTGAAGAACGGATACGAGGCTCATGCACATGTTGGTACAATCACCAGGCATGCCGGGGTTGCATCTGCAGTAGGCCTGCGAAAAACAATAGCCCTACACTTAGCGCGTACACGTAAACGAGTTCAACGCAAAGGTCGCTACAGTCTTACCCCAAACATAGCGCGTACACGTAAACGAGTTCAACGCAAAGGTCGCTTTCTATTCAAATACATCGTACATGTGTTGTGTTCGGAGGATAACGAAAGCAAAAACAGGCGCAGGAATGATTACGTGACAACGCATTACGTCGAACGCATTGCAAAAACAATGGGAAGGAAACTAAATCCAGCTGAAAAATGATTTAACAAACGTGCGTTCCGCATGGAGGTGTTTACGCCACAAATCGTAGAGCCCTTCTCGGTTATACACAAACAGCTGAGATGCAAAGCACCGACAAACCAGCGCCGTCGAAGGCAAAGTACCTCACAACGGCACCCAAGACAAAGCCAACCTGGGAAATGAATGCCAAAAAAGAACCTCAAGATATGTGTATACGGCTTTCCGCCCTTCCTTTCCGCGGTCACAAACACAAACGAAAAATCCAGCGTGCGAATAAAGAAAAAAGTGGCACGGCTCCTGGGTCACACCCAACGTTTGTACTAAGGCAACTTCAGCAGTTTCTGGAAAGAGAGCAAAACAAAAAAAAAGCCGCCGCTAAATCTCCATTCGCACCACATCAAAAACACCAAAAAAACGGACGCAGTTTGATCCCCCCCCACTAAACTTGGCAATGCACGCTTTGAAACGCGAACACGATGACATGGGCACCATTTTGTCTTTTCTTACCTATCGTGTCTCAGGAGAAGTCTACCCCAAGAAGGAAAAAACAGCCAATCCTATTTCCAACAACCTTGAAGCTCAAAACGTCACACATTTTACCATCAACACAACACGCCCACGTAAAGCAGAGCCCAATGACCAATATTTCATGCATTCCTGAACATCATAATATAAAAAGGTTAGCAGTCGTCATTTTTTCCAGAAACAACCACAACACAGCTTGAAGCGGAAACCTTACATACATCCGGATATGATTGTAAGACAAGTACACGAATTACGTTGGCAGTGCGGAAAACCATAGGATGTTCACTATTCAAAAACCGCAAGCCGCGGCTCCCGCTTATATGTTCCAATGACCGCAAACGGAGTTTAAGAAAACTGCTTATTGCTATATATCCAATTTGAGAACGAGTGCCTTGTGACTTAACCGACCATCGCGGATACAGGTAAAACACTTCGTCTACAGTGCAAAGACACTCAGTTGCTTGTTACATTGAAAATGAAAACAAAACATTATAGCGCCACCAGAAAGAAGAAGAATCCTAATTACCTAACCGCCATTCAATCTCTCGTGCCCGGACTTTTGCCGCACATTTGCCGGACAAAATTACGAAGCTCAAAAAGAACCCCCGAGAGCGGAGAGTAATAGCAGCAAATACACTCAGACCCGCGGGATTTCCATCATCATCGTCTAGACTAATACATTGAGGAGCGGAGAGTAATAGCAATACACTCAGACCCACGGGATTTCCATCTTCATCGTCTAACTAATACATCGAATTCCGGAGAGAAGGTTGGTAAATGTACGTCGATCTGGATACAATATTCACCCAAGTACCACGAAGAGATGACAACTCTCGTCAGATGTAAAGGCAGAGCTCTCATATCCGAATAGAAGACACCTTTCCCCACATCAAAAGACTCACACAATCCACCCAACGAGGAAGCAATCTGAGACAAACAACAATGTTACACTCAGCCGCTAGCCTGAGCAGCAATAAAATTACCGAGGAATTTCTTCGACGAGAAACCACGAATCGCGGCCACTAGACGACGAACAGCATTTGACGATGAACAACAGTCGAGGGATTCTTGTTTCGCTGCTAGGTAGGCATCAATAAAGAAGATTTACGTACTCTTCCAACAGCTTTCCAAGAGCCCCGTCTCTATGGTGACACTCGAATAAAGAATGTATTATATCCCCCTATACAGCGTTCGTAGGCCTCTTCGGTTTCCGTTACCCGTCGACACAATCTTGCTGGCAGCCTAGCGATTTACGCGTCTCCCTTCAACCTTTTGCTACACTATCACTTCAATGCCACACGATTTGACCGAACCGAGCTAACAACGCCACCGTATGCCCTCACTTCGACCGTGCGCTTGCTTGTCCAATGCAAACAAAGTCAAACCTCGTGATCTTCAAACCGATCCTCTCTAGCTTACAGTCCCGATGGAGGAGCCGACGAAGGATCCGCAACTGCACACACACATAACGACCACAAACATGTCAGCACCAATCATTGCACGTCAAATACCAATCATTGCACGCCAAATACCAATCACTGCACGTCAAATACCAATCATTGCAAATCAGATACCAATCATTGCACGTCAAATAAAAAACCTAGACACAATGCAAGTGTATGTATACCAGGCCAGCCACACGCCGACATCGAACACGATATCATTTTGGCGGACGACGTGCGATAAACGGCATGCAAAAACTTCTCAAGACCATTCGCAGAATACAAAAAAAAAACGACGAGTGCGAATAAAGCCAGGCAGGAAAACAACACCCACACTCCTAACGAATTACCAACATGATGGGCGTCAGTCCACTACTCTCCACATGCACAAAGGACAGTACGGAGGCGTATCTTTCCATGTTCTAACGGACAATTCATTCGCCTTTTGCACACTTACGTACTGCAGCAAGGCACAATATCCCAACGTAATTCTGTTAGGGGAAAAAAAAAAAAAAACCCCAGAAATTGTGACCCCTTCCTGGTCAATTGTCACAGTCACTCCTAAGAATCCAGATGATGGAACTTGAATAGTAAACCCAAACAGTTCCTAAATTGCGTGAGGCCGGTCAGCTCAATGATGATATCTCGAGGCCGTCACCCTATCGAAGGGGGGACTTTACAAAAAACAACAAACTTGAACGAAGTACAAAATTGCGCATGCAGGGTTTAGCACCATTATCACTGAAGGAGGCCTTTCAAAAATAAAAACAACAAAAAAAGGGACGAAAAAGGACTACTATTTGATGCCGATGACAACGGAACACAAAAGACCTGCAAAACACAACGTAATTAAAAATTTCGGCAAAGGCCATAGCTTCTTACCAGCCATCCCATCGAAGATGCACGCAAGCAAGGGCAAGGCCAAGGGCAAGGGCAAGGGCAAGGGCAGTTTCGCTTAGGAGGTACTTACTCATTACACACTTGGCGAGCTTGTCATCGTACATCTCATAAGGATACTTGGGGCAGTAAATACAATTCTTCTCCTCCGGAGACCAGTATGAGCCCTTCTGGCACTCGCAATAGTAAAGGACCTCGTACCCGAGGAATCGGAAGGAACCCTGATGGGTGTTATTTCCAGGATTCGTGAAGCATTTCCCTGCCAGGCACGTATTGACGAGACATTTACCGCCGCTGAAAATATCAGCAAAACACAAGCACGGCGGAAGTGTCCAGGGAGTCCCGGGAATCTGGAAGCCGTTGCTGTCGGAGTTCATATCATCAGGAGGAGAGCCGTAGTCACTTGATGTCATTGCCGAGCTATCAGGTGCCGCGTCGCCGAATGTTACTTCTTCGACGATTCGTGCCTTTCCTGCAGACAGTCACAGCACAATGCACGCCTATCAAAAAGAGGGAAGGAGGGGGGGCAGGGGTGCATGATCACCTCACTCAGCAGCCGAAAAAAAACGTTTCCAATCATTGACAAGACGACAAGCCGACAACCCCACTCAGCCGTACAGAATGTAGCGCAAGTGATTCCGCCCCGCTCCACTACAGCAACTCTCGAAATGTACAAAAGACAAAACATGGCGGTGTATCTTTCCATGTTCTAGCGCAATATTCACACTCGCTTTACACATTTCCAGAGTAGTGGCGCGAGACCCATTACTATCACGATGGTCTCCAGATTTCCTCCATACTTCCCTCACACTATAACGAACGAGACCTTCAGACCTTGCTCTTCTACTTAACAACACTACATGCATTCGGACGGCTTCTGGACACCATGCACTCGAAATGTTTGAAGTCGAATGCAACCGGTCCGGAGAGCGCCCAAGTGCATGTAGCGTGTCGTGTAGTACGACAACACACCTACATTGCCACTTGACGTAGTTACTCGACTTTAACACTATCATCGCCTCACATACCCTACTTGTTCTCTACTCACCTCGTCCCTCGCTAAGGCCCAACTTGGGCGTCGAAATGATTATGCTTCCCACACATTCCGAATATTGGACGACTTAAAATGTACGCGGACGACTTAATGTATGCGGTCGGTTTCAAAGGCAAGATACATGTCTAACTCGCAATTGCACACTGACTTCACAGAAAGCACGATAAAAAGATGACAAGCGCGAGAGGCAAAAAAATAGATTGGCGACAAATCTAGACTAGATTGCAGCGCAACTAAAATCACGCTTCCGTCGTCAGCCGAAAAGAACGCCCGGTCGTTATCACATTGTCAGGGCCGGTCCTTCGGGACATCCGTTAAAATTGGAACGATACAGAGAAGATTAGCATGGCCCCTGCGCAAGGATGACACATTGTCAGGGCCTCGCTGCACTACTTTCGACGTACACAAATAGACAACTCCTGGCGGTGTATCTTTCCATGTTCCAAGGCAAGATTCACTCTCGTTTTGCACATATCGAGAGTGAAGAGCGAAGCTTTAAACCTGAAATTGGCCAGTAGACAGCTATGATGATGGGGCGTTCTATTCGGGTGAAAACAGTCACAGAGGTGGCCACATAGCAGATGCGCGCAGCTGTCCGAATAGAGAGCGAGAGATCGATGGCAAATCGAATAGACCTCGTGTGCGTGCACAATGAGAATGCATCTTCTGCTAAAACATGGAAAGATACACGGACATAGCCTTCCTCATGAACATGCGAGTAGTGGAGCGAGGCCCACGGCCAGGGTACAAAACACGGACAACTAAAACGACGGACGGAGAAAAGAAACACCAACATTTTCAAAACCGGCCAGGATGTACCTCACACAAGAACTTGACTGGATGCATACGACCGCTTTACTAGCTGACCCCAACCACATTCAGAGATAACTAAAACCTCCCAGTGTGATTATGGTCTCAGAAGATCTTGACATCACAACAGCATAATAGTATACGCCGTCACTAGCTGTGTATTTGGATAACAAATTATACAAAATACGGCTATAACGACCGGACGTTCTATTAGGATGAAGACGGTAACACAGCCGAGAGAGTGACAGAAGCGGGCCACAAAAGTCGCAAAGTCACGCGTCAACAAAAAACACGGCACGGACTGCCAACGGAGGCACAAGCCCAGCTATAATGACCGGGGGTTCTATTAGTATGAAGACGGTACTCTCAGCCGAGAGAGTGACAGAAGCGGGCTACAAAGTCGCAAAGTCACGTGCTAACAAAAAACACGGCACGGACTGCCAACGGTGGCACAAGCCCGCCCGCGATGACGAAGAGTAACACGGGAACGAGTACATCAGAAAGGCAAGCCGATGGGTCTCGCAGCACAGCTCGCTACATGCACAAAAGACAAAGTACGGCGGTGTATATTCCCATGTTAGCTGAAGACTCATTCCATGTTGTACTTTTGACGAGTAGTGGTGGAAGGCCCATTGGTGGCTCAATCTACAAAATTAACGAACAAGTGAAGCAGAGATTACTAATACTGCTTACACACGCACGGAGAAGCACAGATCACACTCAAGTCAAAATTATCATTTTGTACATTCCGCGTCTAGTGGAGGGAGACCAATTGATGGCTCAATCGACAAAATAAACGAACAGATGGAACAGAGATAACACTGCTTACACACGCACGGAGTAGCACACAGAACACACTCGAGAAGTCAGTGGAGGAGCCGCGAAAGAAGCCCAGCGAGCGTTCGTAAACCACACAATCACCAGCAGCGGAGTACGAGAACTTGCTGAGACGAACAGGGGTCGATTCTGTGAGCATGAAAGAAACAAAGAAAGAAACACTCAGAATGAATAACTAAGCACTCACAGACAGTCAGGCGGGTCACTTCATAACCTTGAACATATGAAAGAGACGTAAAGACGACGGACAACATTTATCTGTCGTTTTACCAGCCAGCCCCACACGGTCCCTCCGTTAGGAGGTCAGTATATTTCTTCTCCACCGAACACTAGTTCGTCTCCAGTTGTATATTCATGATGCGGTCCAGGCTGCGGCACACCCAAGGAGTTTCCATCCGGAGGGAACAGTAGGACAACTAGGGAATACGCCGACAGACTCAAACGAACGTTTCCTCTGCCACAAACCATCATAGGCTTCGCGGCCGCGGCCTCCACAGCACAGCAGAGGTTTCACCTACAGATGAATCCTCACCCATTGGCTGGGCAGCTGCAGGCTCACTAGGGTACAACGTGCGACAGAGATAAAAGGCTGGTACTCACACCGGCTTCTCCCCGCTATGAGCTGAGAGAACTATAGCCACCAATCCTTCTCACGTCGCACGACAGATTACCTTCATAAGAGTCTCTCGTCCAATCCGCATTAATTGACTCAAGGAGGAAGGTTCACCTATACGCCGGTCTCAACCACAAATATCACATTTGCATGGATAGATCACAGTCGCTTGCAGAAGAAAAAGATCGCTGTCCTCTGCAACTACTATTGCCATCGTAATCGAGAAAAACTACTCTTCGGAGAGTAAATACTCTTCAGATACTGAATACTCTTAAGATACTGAAGGGAATACACACCATAAAAGAGTAGGCGACAAGAAAAAGCTGAGTAGCGGCCACTATCAGTTTCGTTCCATCAATCGCCATCCAAGGACGGAGAACATAGCGCAGGGTACTCGACTACGCGCAACGAGTATTATCTGATTCAATATTTTAACAAATGACGATGTTGAATAGGACTAGCGGGCTGCTATCACCATTTACGACTCCATCTAGATATGCGTAATGAATGCCATACGAGCCTAATGGAAGTACAGCTCATCATTCAAAAACGAGCAGGGCATAACGTACGGCATGACGTGGTAGTCACGGGCACACAGACGGACGTCGAAGCCCAGCGATGCTACAGCCTCGTCTACGAACGGTCACCGCGCATCTTCCAAAGCGCACATGCTGGCTGGTGCAGCCTCACGCATCGAAGGTGCGGCGGCCTCAGGCACTAAGGGGTGCCCTCAACTGAAGGTGAGGTCTCACATGCAGCATCCTCACGCCGTGAAGATGGCCTCCATAGTGAAGTCCAGCCTGACGTAGCGAAGGTCTGGCCTGACGCAGTGGAGAAACAGCCTCCCGAGGAGGTGAAACCTCACTCCAGGGAATGAGCGGCCCCGGCCACGGGAAAGGTTGCCCTCAACCGAAGAACGGGCAACACCGCACAAGAACAAACAGACTCAGGAAAACAGCGACCTTTCGCAGGTAAGGAGAGAGCGGCCTCACTCAGAGAGCGGGTTACCCCGCGCAAGGAAGGAATGGATTCAACCAGGAAAACAGCGACCTTTCGCAAGTAACGAGGGAGCGGCCTCACTCAGAGAAGGAACATCCTCAACGAGGGAAGTGGCAAGGAGAAGAGCGGCCTCAACAGACAGGGCAACCACGGGAGCGAACCCGGCCAGCAATGGAGCGGCCGCAACCGGCGATGGAGAGGCCTCGCGGCCTCAACCGGCAAAGGAACGCCAAGCGAATGACCGGCCTCAACCAGCGACGGAGGGATCTTAACCGGAGAAAGAAGGCGTCAACAGGAAAAAACGACCCAACCCAGGAAGCCTGCATCCTCACACAGGGAAGGAGCAGCCTTAACCACTGACGGAATGGCCTCAACAAAGAAGAACAGCCTCACCCATAGAACGTGCATCATCACGGAGGAGACAAGACATGCAATCTCACCGAGGTCCGAGGCGAGACCTTAACTTGTAGGAACCGAGCGACGCGTGAAGCAGCGGCCAATCGCAGGGCTGCCACGGCAAACCCAGAAGGGCGGATGCAGCTGCAGCGAGAGAAAATGCGCCGTCTTTCACCATCCGTTACGACGACGAACAAGTAAATTGCTTATGGCCAGATAAGGGGCAACGCGAACTCCAGCCACGCGAGATACAGACCAGACAGGGAAACGTTGTAAGGAGCAAACAAGGAGAGAGAAAGTTGTGTTAGAGCGATAGGCCATGTTAGAGACGTCTATTGGGTCACGTGAGCGATGAAGAACATTGCCATTTAAACGAACCAGAGTTGGAGACGACGTATTCCTATATGACTGGAAGCAAGCAACGGACCGAACGTGTTCACTCAGGCAAAAATCAGAGGGTCGAGAGAAGAGAATCATGCGGCCTCACTCCATTACTCACAAAGTGTGCGCCACATTTTTTGTCTTTCGTGCTTTCACCGAGTAGTGGAGCGGGGCCGATGAACATACGAAGGTCAGGAGGCAATAATCAGAAAGCAATCACTTATGACGTACCGTTCACAAGGGTCACGAATGCCCCAACAGTGAGGAACAACATAACGAGCGTCGCCGTGCGCGCCATCTCGATTTACAGCCTTCGACTCCTCGCAAACCGCTCTCCTGCAATCATCACGCGACATGGACAACAACCATTCATGCTTCGACGTCAATACGACAGGTCACAGGACAGTCCGCTACAGCTCCACATACAATTTAGCATTCGTAATGCCTCCACTACCGTCTCCACCCGCGCAGAACGTCCGGTCGCTCTAGATGCTTCTGAACTGACGATGGCACCAACGACTGCGACGACCGGTCGTTCTATTCGTGTAAGGACGGTCGTTGAACAAAACAAGAAGCATGACGGTAGCTGATTACAGACTGATTACCATTCCGAGCCAATCACTGCATTCGAGGAATATGACGAGATCAACTCGCGACATGGCTGCGCCTACCTCAACGTCGTGAGCTCACGTCGCCTACTGTCGCCGAATACCACTGCTCGTCGGGTAGTACCCCGCTCTCGCGCTTCGCAAACAACAACACCCACCAGCGAAATAGATACGTTCCCAGTGGGAAGGAGACAAGCGTATATTATGCGGTGTTTCGCAGCGAACCGGTCCAAAATTTCCTGCTAACCGCCGTGGCGCACTAGCAACTTCCACAGAATCGCTTGCAGTCACACGTATGCCTTCACCGGCGGCGCTTATTAACTGCAAGCCATGCCTCGACGCTTCTGCTGCCGCTGCGGGGCGGTAGTGACCACTGCATCGACTTCGGCACTTGGCACGGCCGAGCGATCTCTGACTGATGAGCAGAGATTGCAGATCCCCGCCCATTTCGAGGCGATTGGCGCCACGTGGCGCCGTACACTTCGCTGAAGCAAAATCCGGCTTCTCGGCGAAATCAGAGCCTCGCTTCACCAGTCCAACAGAAAAAAAACAAAAGAAGAAAATAAAGAAGAATCGCCGAGCGTATCCGTCCACTATAACCCCAAAGATGCGCCCGCCTTTTTCCTTCGTTTTTTGTCTTTTTTTTCTTTTGGTCTCCGTACTTTTTTTTTATATATATTTTCCCCCCAAAAAAAAAAGAAAATAAAGAAGAATCCTGCTGTCCTTTTCTCGCCATGCCGGGGCCAAGTCCCAATTAATTTCTCGCCATCTCGGTGCCAAGTCCCATTTAATTTACCCAAATCATCGATTTCTGACCGTCGATTCTGACGATCAGCGGCCGTCAATGAATAATCGCCGCAGGTAACCCTAGGCCCATGGGGACTCGAACACCAGACCACTACGCTTGTCCATTCCCACAGCCCTACCGGTAGTAGGGTCCAAGCGCCTGCTGTGGTGTGGGCGTTGCATTGCATATGGGCTGAATTTTTTTTCAGGGATGAGAAAAAAAGTCAAGGGTGGTGTCAGCTGCAGCAGACGCAGCAGCAGATCCTCCCCACCTGGCCGCAACGTGCAGCTTTGCGGCGCGCTGCCCGTCCCTCCCGCCCACCTCGCTGTAGCCACGACGGGCCCTGCTACCGATAGGCGAAGCCTAGCCCTGTCCCTTCTCTCCACGTCGCACAGAAAAGGAAGAGAGTGGTCCACTTAGCCGGGTTTTTTTCGGTTTTTTTCTTGAGAGAAATGTAGCATTTATTTCAAAATTGTTGAGAAAGGGAAGAGAGTGGTCCACCTAGCCGTTTTTTTCCAAAATGAATGAAAATATTTCGCCCTTGGGGACATCCGTTGGGAAGATACAGAGGCCCCTGCGCAAGGACGACACGAGGCGTCGCTCGAGTGGACAACTTTCTGAACGTATCTTGAGTTTGCAATGCACTGAATACATTCGAGACGTTTGATCCAAACGAATGCATTTGGTCCTAATTTGACGTCTTGATACAATGCAGAGTGTTGAGTACTGGAGCGAGGCCCATGCACTCGAGAAATGGTCCAAAAGGCGACAAGGCATATAGATGATACCAAAGACAACGTAAAGACAACGTAACAAACGAACAACAAGAAACAGAAGCAAAACAAAAAGAACAGGGCTTGGATGGAACGTTCTGGGCCGAGGTCCCACTAGCTAGCAAAGAGGATCGGATTGAATGCCCGAATCTGGATGTGTTTTACGCAGAAATGCAGAAAAGCAGTTCAATCTCGATTTCCTGCACCTGTGCACAAACACGTCCAAATTCAGGCATTCAATCCCATCCTCCTGGCTAGTGGGACCACACTCCTGGGGTCCTTTGGGACATCGGTTAAAATTGGAACCATACAGGGAAGATTAGCATGGGCCCTGCACAAAAATGACACACATAGGGTCGTGTGGGGGGTGGCGGCGAGCCGCGCGAATGCTGCGCTATTCTGGCGTTAGGCTCCTCCGGAAACGGCGGTTGTACCTGTCGCCAGAGAGACGGCGGGCGCTCGGTCCGGGCCTTTCGATGCGTCTTCTTCTGCAATTCCGAAGGAGGAGATGTCGGAGCTATTCCTCATCATGTTGATGTGGTGAGTCCCAACCGTGCGAGATCGGTGGGCAGGAGGGCGCCATCCCCTTGGAGAGCAAGGTGTCCCAGGTTCATTGCTATTCGGATTTTGTCTTCGACATTCTTGAAAGTCAGGCGAGCAACAACTTCCTTGGCGTAAGCTGGATAGTCCGTCAGGATGACGCCCAACCTCACGCCCAGCGCGACTTCCTGATCGGAGTAAAGTGTGGGCCTGGAAGTGCGAAAAGGGGTGTGCCAAGGATTTTTGGGAAAGTGGAATCCCAGGTCAGAACTGAGATCTCCCGTGGCAGGGTTTTTCGGGGGCACGAGTGCAATTTGGCGGAGGGCGGACCGCCCCTGGTCACAAGGCAGGTGGTATGCGCAGGTCGCTCAAGGCCGAGATAACGACAAATCCGGGGTGGGTGAAGTAGTAGGTATGGTCCGGAGAGGGGAAATCAGAGCACCGGGGGTCGCTAGTGGTGGCGCAGTGAAACTCCTGAGGGCACAGTCGGTTCTCGGTTAGACAACGGTATCTCTGTCGCAGGACTTCGTTTACCCACGGGGTGAAGTAGTCCGGGTCGTATAACAACGACTCCGTGCTCTCGGAGCGTGTCATCATGTCATCGCTGAGTTGCGAGGTTCCTAAGGGCATGTCCTTGCCGAAGGCGATCGCCGCGTGCAAGCACATGCAGGCAGCGCAATCGAGTCGCGCTTACACGTGCCTATACGGGATGATGGCTTCGTCGCTTGACGCGGAACGACCACGTTCGATCAGACAATATCCCCGCAATCGATAATCCCTTTTGAGATTTGACGAACCGACGCACGGGAGCATGTGTAGGTGCGCAGATCAAGTCGCGTTGCCACGTGTCCTCGCGCGGCGTTCGTTGGGCCAGACAACCGATCATCTAATCACTTCGTGTGTTCGAGCATGCAAAATGCAACCAATGCAACAGCCCAATCAAGATACAAACAAAAATGAGATCAGGATTGCCAATTGTGCAAAATTTATATCCTACTCACGGGTGCATCAATGCAATAAACAAGGCAGAGGCAAGGATCCGGTAGAAAGATAAGCAACCAAACATGGCATTTACACATTCATTCATTCAGCAACATACACACACAGTGCAACTGAGATGGAAATCGCGAAGACAAATGTGAGCAAAACCCAAGTCCAGATTCCGAAAAACAGAAACGGGCAAGTCGCCCGGAGCCGAAATCAGAATTTATGTACACAAGAGAGGAGGGAGAAAATATAAAAGAAACAACAAATCCGCGTCACTCAACCTCAACTCCCTCCTCCTCTCTCTTCTTCTCCGAAGCGGACAGTCCGTCGTCGCGCACCAACCCACGAAGCTGTCACCCCGCTTAGTCCTCCCGTACCCGTTAGGCTCGCCCGCGCCCACAGTCCGTCGTGGGCCGCGTCAACCCCGCGCGTTTGGCACCAGCTCGTCGGGTCGCCCGACTCCTGCTCTACTCACCTCTTACTTCGCTCGTGTGCCGACCCTCTCTGATCGCGCAACCCCGAGCTTCCAACAACTGGTTAAGAGAGCTAACTAATCGCGCATCCTGAATTTATAGTGTGCATGCATGCACGGAGAACACGGAATTGCAAGCATTTAGAAAGAAGATTAGAGAGGGAGCGTCTGCGCTCTGCATGACCGGGCCGCGGCGTGGGGGACGTAGCCACTCTCCACACATCGATCCGAGCATGCAGACCGTGGCTACCAAAACGCAGCAAAGGAAAAAGAAGGAGGGCGGGAAAGACGAAGCGCAAGAACAAAAATACAGTTACAATGACGTCAACCCAAAATTGCAGTTACACATCCGATTAAAGGCGCCGACTAATCAGAATTTCGTTGCAGCCTCATAAAGAAGCGCGTAAGGCAAAAGCGCCGCGTGGCAAAAGAAAAATCCTAATTAAAAAATTCCTAAATTCCTAACTAATGCGGAAAGCAAAAAGCACAAGTTTCGAAAGGGAAGTCCGAAATTCCGAGAGCCATCGGGGCTCGACAAAATTCGAAAAATAATTCGAAGCAAATTCCCGTGTGATGTCGGCGCCTAAATTCCCAAACCGAACAAAAGAAACGACGTCAACATTTATTATTCGCGCGCTCGGCGGCGCGCCCGCCATTCACCTGACCAATCAATCACTCGTCCCGGGACACACCTAGCTCCGAACTCAGCCAACCGAAAAGAATCGACGCAAAAGACGAAGAAGCGAGGGTAGTGATGCAATTTCCCATCCATCCCAATCTCCCGTAATTGGGCCAACCTTTCCAGCTTAGGACCCCTCATCGCTATCGCGCAGGAAATTGCGTGGTGCGGAAAGTGGTTCGTCACAGCCAATGGTGGGCTTCTTCAACAGGAAAGACATTCATCTCTTGTGGACAGTGTCATATATACCCCGTGACGCATAGCCTTTCGAAAGGGATTGCAGTGGGTAAGCTCTATTTTCCAATTTTATCGATGCCTCTATCTAACTATAGGTAGGCGTACTCGATTCGATATTTATTTATCACTGTTCATTTAGGCGGTTGCCTCCATGGCGACAGCTGACGCAGTCTCTTCGTGGTCCGAGGCAGGTAGGTTGAGAGTGAAGGAACTTATAGCAAAATCTACACGGACGGAGTTTTTTCAGAAAACCTCGCACCAAATACGGTGGAAACAGGGGAGGACTACATTAGAGTCACAATCAACCCAGAGGTAAACCGAATCCAAGCCGAATGGTTGAAGGAACATGCGGTGACTATCCTTTTTGGGGACGATTGAACATCCCTGCCGATTGACGTTAAAAAACGACTGGTCCGCATCTACGAAAATGGGTGGGCATCAGCCGCGGATTTCGCTGCTCCTCCAAAACGGGGTTTGTTCCATAACGAAGGGAAAAACCTGGTTACTTACGTCACCCCCGCTAAGGAAGTAGCAGCTTGGATGCTGAGAGTGGCCGACACAACAATTGAACTGGACTCGAAAAATTATAAGATTTCGTTTCGTCCATGGATGTCGAAACACGAATTGTGGGAATGGAGGGAAGTGGCTAGGTTCAATTTTTTTTGGATCAGATGCATGTTAGTTCCAAGAGGAGCTCTCCCTCATCTCTCCAAAGACGTGTAGGACGCGTTCGGAGCCATACTCAAAGAGTCCCCGGCCTTTGCTGACAGATTGAGCCCGGACTTGGTCAACATCCGTTTTGACTTGGAGTCTGTGGCCCG